TTGAAGTGAGAGCAGAACGTTGGATGAGCTAGGGTTGTAAGTTGCTTTCAAGTTCGCTGACTGCCCGTTGAGGTGTCCGACCTACCGACCTCCAGGGTGCGAGGACGGACAAGGTGGGGCCAGCCCGGCCCCATAACGATGCACCCTTGTCAGTTGCAGTCACCGACTGCGGGAGACACCGAGGAAAAGCGGGTACCTTTAACTCACCGAAAGAAACCAATGACGACATGCCGTCCGCTCCGAGACCACGGCCCCGAAAACTCGGCACCAGTGCTGACGACAAGGGTGTTCGAATCTCGAATCCTTCCGGCCTTCATTCAACGTCCCCCCACTTCTACAATCACAACAGGGAGGGGTTTATTCTTCAACACCCACGGAGAATGACAGGGTAGCCGGACCTGAGACTGCCCACGAACCTCGATTGCACATCTCAAAGCCCGAGTCTCAAAAAAAAAATAAAAAAATCTCTCATTCCTCACCTTTGAACCCATCACTCACAATCATCACAGACGAAAAGCTTCGCAATCTCATCTCCCTCGTTACATCGAGAAAATTTCCCCCAAAGACCGGAAAAGATGCCTCCAAAAACCACCCCCAAGCCCGGCGGCGGCACCTTCACCTACTGCGTCGGCAGCAACCCGCCCTTCACCCCGGAAGAGTACAACAAGGACCCGGCCCGCCGCCAACGCGCCCTCGACCTCCTGGCCAAAAACGACCTCTACTCGGCCACCGTCGTCACCTTCAACCTCCCCGAGCGCGACACCTACGTCTACCACGCCATGACGGCCGTCCGCCTCGCCGAGGTCCAGCGTGTAGTGAGCATGGGCGGCGTCAACGGGTTGCACGCGTGGTATCGTGACGAGGAGGGCAAGCCGGTATGTGTGGTGGTCTCTGTTGTTTGTTTGACATGTGGTTCAGCCGTTTCTTTGAGTATCACTATACGTGCATCAGTCCGTACATCAGTCTGGGTGGATCATCTCTTGTAGAAGCTCAGTCTTCTCACACGCTCCCATTCTTCCCCTCCCCTTCTAGAAACCATCACAGTCCCTCACCCTAAAGCCCCCTTTTCACGTTGTAACTGAATCTTCTTTAAGTCGATCTGTTACCTCTCATGTAACTCGTAATCGAATGCTTTGTATCACTTCTTGCGTCTCTCTCTCACCACCAGCCTCTCAACCCCCACTCCCTCATCGTCTCTCATCATCCTCCCCTCAACCCCCCCTCAGCCTCTTCTCACCTCAATACAAAAAACTAACAACCCACCAGCTCGACCCCCCGCCCCAACCCGACATCCAATCCTACATCCAAATCTTCTCCCCCAAAACTTCCACCCCGCAAGCCCTCAAATCCCACCTCGCAAACGCCAAAAAGTCCTCCATCCGCCACCTCTCCGCCACCCACCTCCTCGCAAACCGCTACATCCACCCATCCTACTCCTCCCCAACCTCAAACCCCAACCTAAACGCCATCCCCAAATCCAAAACCCCCCAAACCTCCCTGCCCCCAAACCCCTCCCTAGACTTCTGGTCCTGGTCCGCCCTCTCCCTCCAATACGCCGGCCCAACCCCCTCCCAACCCCTACAATCCCACCACGTCCTCCCCATCCTAATGCACCACTTCGGCTGCGCAACACCCACCCACGAAGCCCTCTCCATCCTCCGCCTCCTGTCCGCAGGCCGACCCATCGCAGACATTGGCTCCGGAAACGGGTACTGGACGCACATGCTCCGCCTATACAACCTCACCGTCCACGCAGTCGATAACCTCCAATCCGAATGGCGCACAAACTGGATCGCAGACACAATCCCCTCCGACGGGGTAACCTACCTCACCCAAAACTCTGGTGGAAAGGACATGGTTGTGTTGTTAGTCTACCCCGTCGTAGGCGGCTCCGTCACCGGCGGGACGGAAGGGAGCTTTACGCGCGGGTTGGTGGAGGCGTATCAGGGCGATACGATTGCTGTTGTCGGCACGCAGAATGGGAATGGGTATACGGGCTTCCGGGGGATGACGATGGCGGAGTATATGGCGAGGGAGCAGCCTGAGTGGGTTAAGGTTGTGCAGATTCCGCTGCCGAGTTTCGCGGGCAAGGATGAGGCGTTGTTTGTTTTTCAGAGGGGGGAGAGGGCGCCGCCTAGGGATGAGGGTTTGGGAAGGGTGGAGGATGGGATAAAGGATGCCTAGGGACGTGGATGGGAATACCGAGTGTTGGAAACGTACCCAAGGATCAGCTCGACAAAACTCATATAGCTCACAGTAGACACAATGTTAAACCGAAAGAAGTGATTCTTAACTACCCAAAAAAATTCTATGATTTCCTTCATTTCCCATTTACCCTCCAAGAAAAAAAACAGACCAAAAAAAGCACATCGTCCACGAAAAGAGTCCTCATCATCCGACTGTGCCATCCGCACTTTCCCAAATGCCCGCCGGGAAACAAGCATATCCTTACCAGCAAGTACGCTCTCCGACGCCTCTCAGAATCGGAAAAAACAAGACGAGAAAAAAGTCGAACCGTGAAAGATGAGGAGTGGATGAGGAAGAACCGAACGAAACCGAAAGTTGGAAAGCCCCCCCCCTTAATTCACCCAATAGCATGGGAGAAAACATGAGAGGGAAGAGAAGAAAAAAATGTACCGAGAAGTAGGAAGCAGAGAGAGGCCAGTCGAAAACGCGTCGCAGACTCCATTCCACTCCATCCACGGAAACGAAACCACTCAAGAATGATCACCAAAACAGACTGATGTCGCGAGAAAAAGAGTAGAAAGCCGCCTCATGTCTTGTCGTAGGGGGGGGGGGGGGGGGGGGGGGGTCCAAGGCGTCGTAGCAAAGCCCGTATACTCTTTGCTTTGTCAAGGAACGGAAATTTTTTCGAGTGTCAAAATGCTTCTTTTTCTTGAACCAAACAGCATCCCCAAGATAGAAAAAAAGAAAACCGGTCCATCCATCGTAGAGAAGAAGAAAAGTTGTTTTTTTCATCGTCAAGTCGTCAACCTAGGAAAATGTCCCCCCTCTTGCGTAGAGCAGAGTGGACGTTGTTTTTGCTTCCTGTCCTGATCCTAGCCTCTCTTTTTTATAAACTTGTCGTAGTGTCGGGCACGTTATGATACAAAATGGGCACCCTTTTTTGTTGCGTGTAGCTGTGTGCGTAGTGTGTGTGGCCGTGAGACGTCGGTAGTAACGATGCGCGGAAACGAGACTGAAAAAGCACCGAAAACGTTTTGACTGATCATGGTGACTTTCGCTTTGATGATGCTGAATGTTGAGGTCCATGGCAAAAAAGGAATGCGGTTATGTGCGTAGTGAGAAACCCACACTAGTAAACGTATAGTCGCGAGGTTGAGCTGATGAGTTCAACGTCAAAAGGCATTTACTCATCAGCCTCTCCCTTTCTCATTCTCTCGTTCCACTTCCTCTTGCCGACACGCGTCTCAAAGTGCGGCACGAGCGTCTTGACATCCTGCATGATGGACTCAATGGCAGAACGGGTCTTGTTGCGGTAGCAGTCCACTAAACTCAAGTCAGTTCACTCACTCCCATCTCACACTCAACAGTTGACAAAACTTACGAGCTCTCTGGAGGAAGACTGTCCGTCCCGCAAAAACTCTGCTCTGCAGCCACGCCATGCGGTATCCGAGGTCGTTGAGTCGGACCTCCTTGCCTCGGACACTCTTCCTCATGCGGGGAATGGCGACCTCGCCCTCGGTGTTCTCGCCAATGGGAACCTTGACCATGGACTTGTTGTTTCCACGGGCTCTGCGAGAGCCACGGCCCTCGGTGTCTTCGACACCATCGTCCTCCTCATCGGCATCCTCCTGGAAGAACTTGGTACCGGTGGCAGACGGCGGCGGGCTCTGCATCTCGCGCGGGAAGTACGACCGAGGGAAGACGGAAGCGCCCTTGCGGAAGGAGTCGGGAATCTCCTTGGTATCGACACCGTCGAGCGTGACTCTAACACGCAGACGCGAACCGCGGACGTTGTCCTCGACGAGGATGAACTTGCGCTTCTTGGCCTCGGGGATGTTAGGGAACAGATCCTCGGGCTCGCCGTTGTCGCTGCGACTGTGGCGCCGGGCAGAGATGGCGCCGGCGTGGGAGCTGCTACCCATGTGCGGCATCGAGCCGGAGCTGGGTGCCGGGTAGCCTCCATGACCGCCGTAGCTTCCGGAAAAGACCTGTGACTGTCTGACGTCGCCACCCTCCTGGCCGGCGGGGGCCTGGTGGTGGTGATGGTGTTCGTCCATGTATTCGCCATCGCCTATTTCAAGACAGTAAATGTCAGCCAACGTTACAATGAAGGAAGATTGGAAACTGGTTTCGGGAGGACGGATGCAGACGAGCGGAGTGTGGGAGGGGTAAATATGTTTGATCGGCAACCCTGACAACACGAACCAACGGCAACGCGAAACGCTCAAGACGACAAAGGGAGGATCGGGACGGGTGTTTGTTGCTTTTTTCCTGGAGGTACAAGAGTGGCATAAGAGTAGGTCTAGGGACGGGACGATTTCCCTTTTACGAGAAAAAGCCCCCCCATCCAAAGCCAGGCTAATAGTGGGACGCAGAAGGATTGGGGATGAATGCCAAAAACGCTAAGCAATGCGGCTTTTTGCCGATGTCTCTTCTAAGAGGCATCGCATCTTGTTGCCCGACAAACTCGGGTCAGGTGACTAACGACAGCAACAGCAGCAACTGCGTGCAGCAACTATGGTAATGTACAGATCTGTGCCGTAGAGAAAAGGAAATCCCTCTCGACCCGCGGCGAGCTTTGCTGTATCGTAGTGACAAGTTGCTTTGATGCGGCCGAAAAAGCCCGGCGCTATACAACAGGAGGAGCGCAAGAAAAATGACAAAAAAGTGCAACGAACCCATTCCCGAGACGTCTGACCAACTAGCAGAGTAATAATGTAATAAAGGCACAGAGGTTAAAAAAAAAATTTGTATGTGTTTGGTGATGAAGCTCGTGTCCGCTCTAGGATCACGGCTGACAAGACAGGTGATGAAGGGGGGAAAGGTATCACATAATCAACGATCTTTGGGGGTTGTGCCGGGCAGTGTGTATGTGCGATGCAACGACAATCAACAACAAACAACGACTGGGCTCGCAAACGCTGCAGATGCGGAGGGCTTCTTAATCACATCTGGTGAAACATACCGACTTCATCCCCTCCACCCGGAGCGTTGGTGTGCGGCATATGACCCATGTTCATTCCAGGCATCTTGGCTGATGCACCCGCGGGGCCCATGCCACCCGCACCTTGAGGCATCCCTGGCGGACTGGGGCCGCCCATGTGGCCGGGGTGAGGACCGCCCTGAACCGATTTGCGAGTGTTCATCTTAGCCATTCGGCGCACTCTTCGGCTTCGGAGCCGGGGGTCTTGGTTGCTGTTGCGCCAGCTATCCACGGCGCGCTGGATAAGACCTCTCTTGCCGCGCAGAGGAGGGTTCAGCTGGGCAAGAGCCCATCCGACCGTGTTGCACTCGGTCTCGTATACTTGGCGGTTGCCTCGGTATTGGTCCTTGGGGCAGCAGGCTCTAGGGTAAACGCAGTTCTCCGTCTTGAACTCAGCAGAGAGCTCGTCCGTGTTGACCGACTCAACGTCGCAGCGGATGGTGTACTCCATCTTGACGCGGTCGCGAGAGTACTCAAACGCGATCCATTGAACCCCGTTCTGATCTTGTCTGACGACCAAGGGCGTAGTGGCCGGGATGGGACCGGGTGCCGCGTTGGGGTTGACACCGCCAGGAGTCGATCCTGTAGGCGTGTTCAGGGCAGCGCCATTCTGGGGGTGCTGTTGGTGTTGCATGGGAGTCGTCTGGGGCTTCTGAAGCTGCAGCGGCACCTGGGGCTCCGTCTTCATCTGGCCGCGCGGGCTGTTGGTCATCTGGGCCTGGTGTTGTTGCGCCTGGTGCTGGGGCATGTGTTGCTGCTGCTGCTGCTGCTGCTGGGACTGCGCAGACATCATCATGTTGGGCTGCGAAGACATGGACTGGTGCGTCTGGGCGGCATGTTGCGCGTAGGGAGACTGTTGAGGTTGCGCCTGCATCGACGGGTAGTGGGCTTGCGGCGTCTGGTAGTACATGTGCTGCTGGAGAGGTTGGGACGGCGGCTGGCCGTAGATGCTTCTGTGCTGGTCATGTTGAGAAGGCGAGGCTACCGACGCGGGCGAGTTCGACTGCGGTGTGTGGTAGGACATGGGAGGATAAGGTGGTCTCGGCATTTGAGCGGCGGCCATCATGTCGGATTGATCTGCTATTCAGTGGTTAACGGTTGTGAACTATTTTGAAGCTGGAGAGAGAGAGAGGTAGGGATCCTAGGGAAGAAGAAAACTCACCAGCGGATGTGTATCCGCTTGTCGCGCCTGGGGTGCTGTAGGGACTCGGGTGGGCGTAGTAAGGAAGACCGTCCTGGGAGTGCTGCTGGGCGTTGGTGGGCTGGCTCTGCTGCTGCTGGTAGGCGGGAGCAATTGGATGTCCGGCGGAAGCGTAGGAGGGATGCTGCTGCGACTGGGCCTGGGGATGATGCTGTTGATGAACAACGCTCGAGGGTCGAGGATGTTGCTGGTGCTGCTGCAGATGTTGCTGCTGCTGCTGTGAAGGTGCGTGACCCTGGGGCTGATGGTGGGGGTGATGCTGCATAGAGAAAAGACCCATTAGTCCCTCGTCCAAGAAACGCTTCGACGTATTAAGTTGACTGGTGACAAGCAAGAAGGAGGAAAAAACAAAGTGAGGCAAGGCAAGGCGCGGCGCGTCTGTATTTTTATTTTTTGCACCTTGACACTGTCAGGGGACTGGGGGCATCCAGGTGCAGGCAGGTGCGGGTGGTGAGAAGTGGTTCCTTGCTGCCCCTGGAAGTCCTGGGAGTCGACGAGGATCACGCGGGTGAGGCGTGCTAGACCCAGTTCGGGACCCCTTTCTGATAAAAGAAAATGTGGATATTCTTTTGGGGAAAAGAAGAGGAGCAAGGTAAGGCAAGGCAGGCAAGGCAGGCGCAAGCAACAGACGAATGGGCTCCAGACCAGATGCAAGGTCGCCGTACTACGGCACCGCCAGATCGGAGAAGCGAGGGCAGGGGGGTAGACACACCAGTGTACAAGAGTGAGAGTGAGAGAGAGCTCCCAGCTACCTGCAAGTGTACGTGTGCTTGTATGTGTGCGCGCGTGTATATGTGTACAATTTGGGTAAGGATGATTTGGGAACAAGATGGGAGGGGCGGATTTTTTTTGGTTTACCCCTGAATAACAACCCAAGCAAAGTAGCGAGCTTCGGGTAAAGAAAGAGAATGGGCAGGTACTGCGACGAGGATACTCGGAAGCGGAACCCGAGTGGTTTCGAGGATGCGATGGCCTGGCTCTGGCAGATTTGCGCGACTGGGGCAAAAGACGAAGATGAAGACGGAGTGTGAGGTAGACGGATGAGTGGTACGGATGATGGGTAAAAGAGTAGTAGTGTAGAGTGTAGATGAGTAGTACTCGATAGAGTAACAAGAGGGTTCTCTCGACTGACTACGGTCCTGGTCCTACTGCGGGTTCTTCCTTTGGAGACGCGACAGGAACGCAAGAAAGCAGAAAGAGACGATGGATGGTGCAATGAGATGACAAGGGAGTATGAAGGACGGAGGAGAGATGGCGATCGGAGCGAGGGTGCAGCAGGAATATGGGCAGCCGAGGGGATTGGGCGAGTGAGGGTACAAGAGAGGAACAGGGTAGCTATTTGAACATTGGAGCAGGGTAGGATCCAAAGTGGGCAATTATGACGGGGAGTGATATGTCTGGGAATCGGGGAGGATGGGATGGGCAGCAAAGGAAGAGGCAGGGGACGAGACAGGAGGCGTGCGTCTTGGTACGAGAGCTGTTTTCTCTCTCTCTCTCTCTCTCTCTCTCTCTCTCTCTCTCTCTCACTTGTGAGGCAGCAAAGATAGAGACCCGAGAAAAGAGGATCCAGGACCAGACACACACACACAACCAGCCCGCAGCAGCCCAACCGGGGGTGAAAGCAAGAATGGGAACGCAATAGCCAGAGCCAGACCAAAAACAGACGATTCAGGAAACCAGAGTGTCAGGGGGGGCGCAGACGCGGTGGAGCTTGATACCGCACCGCTGCCGCTTCTTGTTCGGGGTAGAGAGAAAGTGCAATGTAAGGTAATACAAGGGGGGCGATATAATGGCACGGTACCTTGACACCTTGGGCCCGATGCGAGGTTACGGCGCGGCGAAGTCGAGATATCGACGGAGATGGCGATGTCGACGGCAATGCCCTTGCAAGCGCGCTACCAAAGCCGTGGGGCAAATTGGAGGCCAGACGACGAGGGCATATGCGCTTGTACACACACCCAGGCCAGGGTCGGGAGGATATACCCGTATATCTCGACGTCAAAGAAGAGGTGTAGTGTATGTACTATGAGGTACGGTTGACGGAATGAAAGGAAGAGCGTACTGTAATCGCAAGGAATGATATGCGCCAGCCAAGCAATGACGAGACGAGAGCGAGGTAGATAGATGGTAGACGCAGCAAGCTGAGTAAAATAAAGCAAGAGAGCAAGCAATAGCAGCAGCAATAGACAGCAAATGCAAAGCAGAGCAACAAAAAACTTGTCAGGGTTTGGAACGTACGTGCGCGCGTGAGTTCGCCTTCAGTCTTTCCTACTCGGTAACCTGTGTAGGAAAGGACAAAAAGCAAAGTCGTTTACTAGTAACGGCGGCGGCGTCGGCGGAAGGTAGGTAGAGAGGTAGAGAGAGAGAAAGATAGAGAAGTGCACCAATGAGTGAAATCTTGTCGGTTTGGGCGTAGTAGATGCGGGATGCAGTGCCAGACAAGAGAGAAAGACTGAGAGCTTCTCGATGCTTTTCTTGCTGCAACTTGCAGAGAGGTCCCAGAGCAGAAGCAGCGCGTGGGAGGAGGGCGGACAGGGGATAATAACGACCGGGGGAGGCGTGGGTGTTGGGAGGAGAAGGAGGATTGGCGGTGGTGGTGGTGGGCATGGACGAGGGCGAGGAAGATGAGGAAAGGACGCAGAAGAAGTGAAGATGGGACAAGAGGGGCTGGTTGTCGTGAACAAGGTAGGGGCGTGAAGGTAGCATGGTGAGCCTTATTTTGCGAGTCTTGCACACTCCAACGTGCGTGGTGGGAGAGAGTCGAGAGACAAGGTGAAGGCGAGGTGTGGTGTTGGAGAAGAGGGGGGTATGCGCAGTTACGGCAGACGGGATTTTCTTGGGTATGGTGTGGTGGGTGGAAAAGAATACCTAGGGGAAAAAAAGAAGGAAAAAAAAGGCAAGGTAAAGATGAAGTGGGGTGCGAGTGGGGAGACAGAGAGGGCGTGTGTATTTGGAAGGGGGGTGTGTGGTACAGCGCATGGGAGAAACGTGACAAGGGTCTCTTGCACTGTAGATTAAATGGCCAATGGCGGCACACGCTTGCAGGGCCGAGCAGGGTCAACTACCCAATCAGGCATCTCTCATCCGGGACTAGCCAGCAGGCCAGGATACTACCGGGATACCGCCGCGGGCCCTCAATCATTTCTCTCTCACTTCTTTCTCTCTTGATTTTTTTCACTCATCTCTCATCTCTCTCTCTCAAATGTCGACAGTCTTCAGGCCGTCGCGGGCTCTTGTCCACTTGGAAGACAGACCGCAACTGCAAAGTACGACTGCAGAGGCATGGCGTCTGCAACTTTGCTGCTTGGCCCCCCTGTCGTACCTTTTTTCAGCCACCGGCCCCCCCCCCCCCCCCCCAAAAAAAAAAAAAAATTGGCTGCCCACTTTCAATTCCCGGGTTCCCTCCTCACCCTGTCCCCACCCCTGGCCCTGGCACATCTTGCACTTGTTTGGCGCAAGGCGGTGTGGGAACCCATGAGGCGGAGACAGTCTGTGAGAGAGAGAGAGAGAGAGAGAGAGAGAGAGAGAGAGACGAGGGAAGAGAAGTACTCTGTAACTGCGTGGGAAAATGTGCCTGAGGAGACCCGGCTTGTGTGGGAGGCCAGTCTGGAAACATCCCGGCTTCTTCTTGGGACCTGGCACAGGATTCCCGCGCCGTCGTTGGCATGTCCCCCCGCGTTTGCTGCTTGACCGTTCCTGGTCTCCTGGCCCGGCTTCTCATGCCTGCTGCTGCTAATGCGCTGCTGGCATCTAGAAGATGGGTACGGAGTATGGGAGGTAAGGTATGGGCATGGCACTGGCACTGGCACTGGCACTGGCGCTGGCACTGGCACTGGCACTGGGACCTTGCCGCTGACCCATGTATCACCCACGTCCCAGGGGACAACCAGGAACCCGGAGCTGTGCTTGGCCACCATTGCGGGAACGCCGTACTCAATACTCGCTCGGACAGGTGCCTGACAAGCGTGCACCGAGGTCTCTGGTACGTTTGTCCCCAAGCCAGCTCAGAGAAGAAGATGGATGGGGGGGCGTTCTGGTCGTCTTCACCTTCGTCGTTCAACGTTGGTTTGGACTCTCCACAACTAGCGGCAGCCAAGTCACCCTCGCCGCCCTTGCCTCCAAGTGGGAACAATGGCAAACGATTGTACTGTGGTCTACACGCCTTCTACCCATCTTTCTCCTCGTTGCCGGCGCGGGTCGAAACATAAACAGCTCCCCTCGTTGCCTCTCTTGCCAATCATCCAGCCGATTCCCGATTTCCGCCCTCTATCAATGCGCAATCGATGGGGAGAGTGAAATCAGGACTCGCGCAGATGTTCCCTCCAACAGCAGCCGATTCCGAATCATTTTGGCAACCGATCAGAGTGATGAATGCATCGGCTAGGTCAGCACCGACCCCCCTTCCAATTGCTCAGCCACCCGTCATTGGGGAAGCTGCTGGCAGCCCCCACCAAGAACGTGTGTGCCGCAGAGCAAAGAAAGAGAGAAAGAGGATGAGTGCACCCCACCCGACGCCTCCAGATCTCCACAATCGTCACCTCATCTTCATCTTGCTTTTGCCAGGGAAAGGCCCGTCAAAGCTGTACACCACTACCTCGACTCAAAGTGTGTTTGCCGCCCATCCACGGATAGAGCTCGTCGCCTAGAACGAGCTCTTCCTTCAGCCGATTCCTTTCGGCTAGAGTGTGGAATTTCTCCTTTCTTTTTCTCCTTGCTCTGACGTGTACATTATGACAAGAAGGAGCTCGTGACACTCCCGTCTTCTTGGTCCACGTGAGTGGTAGTCGGGAGAACGGGCCCAAGGAAGAGGACGGTAACGAGGGGGAGGCGGACGAAGTACACACTCTCCCGCGTGCGTACCAAAGCGTAGCTCAACCTAACCAAGGCTTAAATAGCTGAAAGGTCGGTACCCGTGGTGCTCGAGACAACACTAGGCATCTAGGCAGGCCCGGGAAGCCGTTGGCCGCCGTTTTGCCCTGCGTGGTGTCCCTCATTTCCAACGAACCAGCCACCTCTTGCCTTGGTGCCTGCGCCATCAATTCTCGCCTTGTCGCTGCCTCCGTCCAGCGCTAGAGGGGAGAAAATGAAAGACATGAAGAACATCATACGGATACAGAAAACACGAATGCAAAAGCCAGCAATAAGAGGAATGTCGCGATTGCTGTGGCTCGCAAGGGGGGGTGCGCGCCAGAAGGTAACAGGCTGCACCTCCGCGCGAGACCCCCCAGTCAACAGCGCGAAGACTCGACTGCAGACCGGCCCTCTTTCGCACACGACGGCAGAACCACGAACGTGTCTCTGGGAGCTTTCCCAAGGTATCCAAAGTTCAACCAGCCTCCCGGAGCTTGAACCAGGTTGGGTAGCACTCACCCTGCCCTGCTCAACCCCGGCTGGCTTGGTCTGGCTGCCCGCCTCTGTCCCCTCACCCTCTCTCCAACTTTCCTCTCCCCCAACTTCGACAGGCAAAAATAAAATAAAAAATCCAAGATAAAATAAAATCAAAATGGTGCAAAAGGGAATAGCGTCGTAGTACACTGGTCGGGAGGCCCCACTCATGCAAATGGAGCCTGCGACAGCCCTGGTCATTTGGTGAAACAGGAGCCACCCTGCCAATCCCACAGACTTTTTGGAGTCCTGACCTGGTCAAGCTTGCGACAGCGTTGCCATCTTCTGGAAGCCACGGGAATCCCAGGAAACTCATCTTGTCGACGCCAACCATGCGCGTAGCTCAAACCCTATCCACGTTTGACCTCTTCTGCAACTCCCGCTTGAGAGCTTCAGTCGAGGTCCGTGGGGACCGCCTGTCCCGACTCGCCGTCCAAGCATGTAGCCGAGTGACGAGTCTTCCGACAGCTAGGGCCAGCAAGCGTTCAAGCTGACGCAGACACCCTTATGCGCGACCAACGAGCTTGAGTAATTGAAATGGGGAAGGAAGAACGCATAGGAAAACGACTCCTTTCGACACGATGACCAAGGGAAAGGATAGAAGAATGGAAAGGTAGGACTTACGTGATCAGGCTCCTGCTTGTAGCCACCCGAGGGCTGCCTGTTCTGCGCCATGGCTCTGACAGTCATGAGTTGATATTGATGTTTCTGTGCGTCTTAGTTAGCATCTGTCATCTGTAGCTAGTGAACCTTGAACCAGGCTCTTCCAGGCCTCCCTGGAATCAGAACAGACTCCAAATCATCCCAACGGGGATGTTCGATGTCCCTTACCAGCCAGGCTGGCATGATGTGAGATCGCCGAGAGATGGCCCATCCTGATGCCCAACCTTCGCTGAATTTCCCGCACCTCTTGGTGCAAGGTTTTTACATCAAGTCATCACGACCGATGGACGCGTGGGCAAGGAAACGGGAATATCCGTGGGAAGAAAAGGGCGTCGGCCAGCGCTTTGCTGGGAGGAAAAGGACTGGGAGATGTCTGCTGTCTGCGTACTCACAATTTTGCTTAGGTAGGCTGATCTAGATATCGCGATCGCTGCGTTCCGTGAACTTCAGTTCGTTGCTGGTGCGGGCGTAAGTTGAGTGAAGATTGAACCCGTGATCTTGGGCAGGTGTGTCCGAGGTTGGCGACGTTGTGAAACAAAGGTATCCCAGCTCGCTGCAAATCGACTCAAGTCAGCATCTTAAGTGTTTTGTTTTCCCAACTTTGATCGGAGCAAATTCATGCGACCGCGTCAAGAACACGCGACCGGGTCCCGAGAGTGAGCCCCAATAAAATGGTGAACCCCCCCCCAACCCCCCCCCCCCTTCCCTGACGGCAATCACACAAGAAGAGAGGCCCAAGGGGGATGCGATGAGTCGTGCAGGCCATGTTCATGCGCAGACTGCAACATGGGACGTTACCGAAATTGAAACAAAGACGCGCTTGGGCGTAGTGTAAGCCCCATGCGGACAGGCGCCGAACAGCAACGCCTTCAGATGATGCATCTCGAAATGCAATTTCGGAGCCCATCGGAGATACGACTATTCGTAAAGGCTGAACAGGATTTGACACGCGGCGGAGAGCACGGAGAGGAAAGGAAAGACGGAGATTAGAGACGAAAAACCACGAACCTTTTCGATTGAGATTGGGACGTGTTGGAAACGCGTTGACGGGTCGTTGTCTTTGGTGTATCCGTACGAGCAACGACGGGGAGTGTGTATGCCTGTATTTGGATAAGGCTGGTTCAATGAGGGCTACAAGTGGATTCTGGTGGTTCTGCAACGTCTGCTTGGTTTGTGAGTGTGTGTGCAAGTATAAGTGTGTGTATGTGTGTGTAGGTACACTTGTGCAGGGGGAGGGCAACCCAGTGATGCACGGAATTTGAGGCTGGCGCAGCTTGGGTGTCCTGACCTGGAACGAATGCGGGAGAAGAAGGCTCTGACAGCGGGGTCCCGAGGAAGACGTCGATGGTTCTTCTAGTTCTTCTGACGGTAGATAGCGTATCCGTAGAGGGCTTGGTTAGTGTATCTGCTTCCTTGCTCAAATGGAGCTATGCCTCGACACTGGCTCAGTCTGTTTGGGTAGTGTGTGACGGTCTCCCAATTCTCCGGGGATGGACCAGGGAGCTGGTCGAACGTTGTTCGCCGGGGCCGTGCGGGCGAATCTAGGATGTGTGTGTGCAGGCCTTGCTGTGTCCCGCTACTGGGGGACCTGACTTGTGCGTGGTTGTTCTAGGTATCTGTATTCTGAATTAGTTCATGCAGGCCAGCCTTGCAAACACCACAGGTGCTAGCAACCCGTCTTTCCCTCTCGCAAGGGGAACCAAAATGTACATCTGTCAAGCAACTGGGGATGCGGCTTGACCATGGAAGTGCCTACGTACTTGGAGGGTGCTTCTGGGAATGGCCTGGTCAGGGGGGCTCTCGTGCTGAGGAGTGGCTCAAGCTGATTTATGACGCAACGCAGACTCTGAAGAAATAGCGTAGGGTTGTTAAGACGCTTGTCAGGCACTGCGAAGAACGAACGGCTTGCTGGGTGTGACTGGGAGGCGCGTGGAAGGTCGGATAAAGCAAGGGAAAGCAGAGTCAAGAGGCAGACGGCGTCATGGAGAGAATGCCGGATATTTAGGCAGAGCCAGGGAGACTCGAGTGATTGGCAACGGGTCCTCAGAGGAAGAAGAAAAAAGAGCAAAAAATAGGACGAGCGATAACGCCAATTCCCAAGTAGGTCAACGTCCCTTCAGTTGGCCACTCGGTATATTGATTAAGGAGAAACTGGGGTGTGATGGGCTGCGTCCAGGGGACGTCCATTGGATGATGCCGCGGCCCCCCAAGAGAAATGTGGACGAAAGAATCCCGGCTAAATGAATCGGGTGGGCAGGTGTAAGGGGAGCCTGCAAGAAGAGAGAGGTGTGGACGGAACCGGTCCCCCGGTGGGAGGGTACGGAGTAGAGAGACAGGCCAAAGGAGTGAATGCTGAAGAATATCGACGTGATGCGCAGAGTCTAGACTGAGGTTCATCCTCACCGCTCCAACAGCTGGAGATACGCCGTGATGAACACCCACAGTATGAACACGGGTGGCAGAGAGCGGAGGCCCTTCAATACCTAGGGTCCGAGATGCCTGTCAGCCGGCCTAGAAGGACCAGGGTGAGAAGTGACAGGCGCCCCGTGGAAGGGCGGTGGCTCACTTACCATGAGAAAAAGCTTCGTCGGTATCCGTAGCTGAAGTGGCGATGCCAGAACCCATTAGTTTGCGACTTTGCTAAGGTAGTCTAAGGTAGCTTCAATGTCGATGCTGTCTGGGGGAATGGCTGCGCTTCTGAGCGAGATCTAGAAGCTTGCAATTCCCTGCGGCTTACGAGGAATGGGACGGTATGACCCAGGTAGGCAAAGTACTACCTCAAGGTAGTCTGGTGGACCGTTGCCTGTCAAAAAAACACCGGTCAAGGTTAGCATTGAACGACCCTTGCCCACACACAAAAATGCCTAGTCGACCCGAGCGTCTCACCCTGGGGATTGGGGGATGGGGGTTGAGCGGGAGGCAAGGGGGTCGAAAACGGTGCCAACCTCAAAGAACCACGAGGTTGCTCGGACTTCTCGTGATTTTGCTTGACGAGCCGTCTTGGAGCGTGCACAGTCAGCGTTGCTGAATCGCGACATGACGACGATTTTGTAGAACGCACGGGTTGGTTATCAGTCACGGCCGCTCCGAGAGATTGTCCTCGAGACGCTTCGGTTCTGGTCGAGCTCGAACGCGAGTAGCTCTCTTCGACTCATAAGACGAGTGGGCTTGAGATACTTCGTTCAGTGAGTGCCCAGAATGCTTGTTGTCACAGGGTCTCAGGTTCGATTATGCATCAAGTACAATGCGAGAACCGCGCCAGTCTCTCACTGTTGATTGGATGCAGTACGCGCTGTGTGCAATAATTTGCATCCATCTGCCGCGTTTGTGGCAATGTCTTGTCTGATCTTGTTGCTATATCTGCGAGACGGCCCGGACTCTTGGGTTTTCAGGTCGCAGTCACACCGCGCAGGCACAGAGGTGTGCAGTTGTGTGCGCCGTCTCTCTTCTTCCCCTTGGGGTCTATTCGCCATGACACTAAATAGCTAGGGACCTCCCTGGCTGCAGGTCGCGCAAAGGTTGGACAGGTGTTGTTCGAGAATGTGACCGGCAGATTGGATGGGATGAATTGCTGTAGAATCTCGGGCAGGCGACACAAAGTGCGCAGGGATAATCGTGGAAGCCTTCGGTTTGATCTCTTGCCTGTTGCACGATTGTCATAATCAGCATCGTATTGACCTTCCCAAAATAAATCGCAAGAGGTGGACGGGCACAACGGGGATATCCACTGGATATGGACAACTCCAAGGAGGAGCGCAATAGTGCCTGGAGAAAAAGACGCAAGCTGAAGGGGGGATCGTCGTTCCATATCCGATTAATCGCAAAGTAGTGGAAGGGTAACATCGGTCAAGAGAGGCGCGGTTTTGGCGTGCGCTCCTCCAGTCCGCTTCCTCGTTGACATGCCACATTTCGCTAGGGCCCGCCCACAACGATCTGCCAACGCATATTGCGCAACATCAACCGTCTCGAAAATATTGCGTGGGTAGCGTGAATTGGGTGGTGACAAGCATCAGGGTAGACGAATTCTGGAGAACGAGACTACTTAGATAGGTAAAGGGTCACGGTAGAAATTGAGGTGTGGGAGGGGGCGCGATGGCGCCGTCTGAAGCTGTAACTTGGGCAAGAAACAGCACGACTCACATTGGGGAATAGTGTGTAGAGAATTCGAGTCGAGGTCGCCTGAAGACCTGGCCCGGAGATGAACAAGCTATGTTTCAGCAGAAGAACTGGCTCTTCGGCTCGTCCTTCTTTCCGTTTCGTCTCGAGTCGTCTAGAAGATGAAGAGGGCAGGCCAAGTCAGTCCAGGGATATGTCTTGCTTGTTGGACTGCGTTGCACAGGTGTGGGAAAGACAGATATGCGACGAGACTATGACGAGTTCGAACTGTCGGCCGGGGCGAACAAAGTTTAGACGGCGACTTATTGATGCTGCCATAGTGTTTGAGGATAGCCTCGCCAGAAGATGAGGAGGCCGGATTCTCGCGATGCCGCCAACGTGATTAGGCCAATGTCGCACGAAGTCTTTCGGCAGAGGAACAGCCACAGCTATCGGGTGTAGAAATGCGGGAGCAACAAGCTGCCGGTGCTGGTGATGATGATAATGATTATGATGATGATGGTCTCGTTGAATTCGTGATAGACGTTGAAGATGGAGTGACGTTGGTCAGACTAACTGTTGTAAGGTTGTCGTGCAGGGAAGGGGACGGGGGTCAGCGGGAAGACAGGGCAGGAAAGCAGAGGCGCGATGGCAAAGGCAGGCGACGGGAGGCAAGGCAAGAAGATGCACCTCAGTTCAAGGAGCCACGAGCCAGGAGCCAGGAGGTGGAAGCTGCCCATTCCGAACGAAGTATCCGTGGGAAGTACTCCGTAGGGCAACAGCACCAGGCAACCTGGAAGGTAAGGAAGGTAAGGAAGGTACTGGGCACACGATCGTGGGTGGTGCACTGGTGGCTCACCTCGGGCTGCCAGGATTGGGAAGTCACGATGGAACTGGACCATGCCCCAAGCACGTGGGGATGCTGTTGCCAAGCGGGGGGTTGCGAACATGGACGCACAAGGTTGACAGAGCTAAGGTGGCCGGGGTTATCTTCAACCTCATGTCATCCAACGTCATGTCATTGATTCGCCAGTGCCAGAACTGTCGACCGTCACTAACAATCTTGTGTATTGAGACGTCTTCAACAAGCAGTAACTGCACATCGTCGGGTGTTTAGGTAGTGTGAATCCGCAGGCAAACATATACAATGATGCCTGAGTTGGGATTAGGATACATTTGATACAATGCGATGCAGGAAAGGCACTTACATACAAGAACCTACCTAGACGAGGTATCTACTTCTGCGAGGTCCCATTCGCACTTGGTCGCATCTCAACGTCGCCTTGGAGCATCACATCGGCCCAGGCCAATGACACACCTGAGAACAACCAGATCATGTTGGCTACCGGTCATCGCCTGCAACGGCATTGCTGTGGTCAGTTACCGCCTACCAATTCCAATAAAATAGCCTCAAGGGTCTTACACTCCGTGACGCAAAGTACTCGGCTCTGGTTAAGGCACAGCCATCTCTGGGCCTACACATCCAGTCCCATTCTCGACAGTTCAAGGCACGATGACGATTTGCCTGGGCCCTGAGGGTGCACCGCAAATGAATTTGTCAACGTTGTGGTGCATATTACGGTTTCCCTCTGTTTGCCGCGTGCCGCATGCGCCCCTAACCAAAGTGGCTGGCGTGGCGGTATCACTGCGACGACAACTATAGGTACATGTATCTCTTTGGTCAACACATCGCCAGTGCAAATCGCCAAGGCCGAGCGAGAGCCTTGCCAAAAGACGCGATCGAAATGCGTAAAAGCGCACAGTTGCCCGAAGCTCATTTGATCGCTGCAAATGTGACCCGATATCTTCCCTTTGAGCAGATATTCTGACCTGCCCATACCCATATCTGAGCCATCCAGCTGGTTCTCCATGTCTTCAGGCTTGCAACGGTTGACGGTTCTCGGCGGTGCGATGCAATGCGGGAGGCAAGGATAACGGCACCGTCGAGTTGGTTCCTGGGCCATGGTGGAATGGGATGGAGCATACCACAGGGGTAAATCAAGCGTGTGCGGGAGCACCTGCGACCTGGGGAGACGATGGGCCAGGAGACAAACTTGGGACAAGGGCCAAGGGCAGCGGTGCAGAAGAGAATGGCAAGGGAATGCCAAAGGGTGTGGTGATCCCTGTAGTCGCCTGTCGCAACCTGGGTTCGAAGTACCTTACTCTTGGGATGCTGATCTTGACCAGGCACAGTGGCACCTGGGCTCCCCAGAGTCCTTCACCAGTGGCCCAGCCTTCTTGCCCTGGCAGGCGCGCCAGTCGGGAACCCAGGCTGGCAAGCCAGGGCGGGGGTTTGTGGATGTTGACCGCGTTGACGGGGCCTGAACGGAACCGTCCTACGGGTTGCCATCCCATGCTTGTTGGCCTGATTAACAGGGTGCCCAGCGGCAGCTGTCCCATGGTCCTGGAGGATAGAGACCCCAGCCGCAGCGAGGATAGCTTCTGCCTCGCCTTGGGCTTGAACCCTAGCCAGCCGGCCCGCATGCTGTGCCGTGCCTAGGCAAGGTACTCACACCGACAGACGCACTAGGTCAAGGTGGGTATCGGTATTCGTACAGACCTTCAGGTCGTTCGATGTGGTGATACTGTCTCTGCGCGAAGATTTGGCTCAGAAATAGTGTTGGAACCCCATACGAAGACTTGAGATCCGTATCTGTTCGGAGTAAGATTGAGTTCATGGGTCTGGTAGGGAAGGGGGGAAATGGGACGAGCCAAATGCCCCTTTCAGCCGTTCTGTCTTCTGGTCCACTCGGCGGCCCAAGTCCTCGAGCTTCTATGTACTTCGTACGTAGTTGGCGTGCCAGGTACGGGTATGGATACAGGGACTGGGTTTGGGCGCAGGCCCAACGGTTCGTGAGCCGGTTCGAAAACTGACAGGAGATAGCGGGGCCAGCTAACGTAGCGTGCTGCAACTTGGGAACGCCGCCCAAGATAATTACTTTTCGTACCTTGGCTTGCTTGGGTAGCAAACAACTTGTCTCCTTACTGCTAATCAACAATAGCTCGAGTCCTGACCGATGGTAGCAGAGATGGCCCACCGAGGACCAGAGCGTGTTCTCAAGCAAAACATTAGCGTCGTAATGACGACGGAATTCGCCGCGCTGCGCAACGTGTTGCTCATATTGTCCAAGAAGCTGCTTCAAAATACGTTCTCCCGAACGCGTCTACAAGAGAACGCTACTGCCAGATGCCGGTAGAATATGTCTTTGCTGAAGGTATCAGCAAGTATGTCTAGCCCGAAATCAGCTCACAATATCACAGTTACTAGCAAAAGGTCATCTCCAGCAGCCGCCGTGGCATATTGAGTATACATTGACCTGATTAGTGTTGGGCGATGGAAACCTGCTGCAGAGCCCTGGAGGCGGTGACGCTGAGCCAATAAGGGCCCGATTGGCTGAACTTGGTCAGAGGATCTAGGAGAGGATCTGGTCTCTATAGGGGTCGGAAAAGGGGGGTTTTCGAATTATTTGACCGTATTAAGCCTAATCGGGTATAAAAATCCTTCATATAACTTAAACTATAATTATACTAAATTATAAGTTATTTTAAAGATATTAAACTAGCAAAGGTATTAAATCATTGTTTAATTA